AAACGAAAGAGGTAACCGCGTGAGGATCGCGGGAGGAGAGAGTGAGAAGGTGACGGTACGGACGGGAAACAATGTGGGGGTGAGTGAGGGGTGTGAGCGACGCGGAGGGAGATAGGGAGACGTTGTGGTGTGAGGACGTAGTCGGAGGGAGAGATAGGTGGAGGCAGTGGGGGAAAAGCAGGGGAAGGGATGAGTCCGTGGAGTGAGTGAGGCGAGAAGGACGGTGTGATGTGATGGTGTGGCGGGTGGTTGTAGTCGAGGGAGAGATAGGGGAAGGCAGTGGAGGAACGCTGGTGGGAGGAAGAACCCACGGGGTGGGTGAGGTGAGAAGGAAGGTGTGATGCGACGTTGTGGCGGGAGATTGTAGCAGAGAGAGAGAGTTAGGGAGGGGCGGAGAGTGAAGGTTAGAGAAGGGAAAGATCCACCGGATGAGGGAGATCCACCAAGGGAATGAGACGCTTTGGGAAGTGGAGTTGGTTAGTTGGAACCTTGGGGGAAGAGAGACGGAGTGAGTGGGGGCAATTAGGATATGTCGCAGGTGTGCGTGCGTGGCCTCGTATAGGTCGAGAGGTGGTTAGTGGTCGCCGATATCGGTGACGGGAGAGAAGGACCAGTGTATGTGTGAGTGGCTTGGTATAGGTCGTGAGATGGCTAACGGTCGCCGATGGTAGTGACGGAAGAGAATGATCAGAGTGTGTGTGAGTGACCTGGTATAGGTCGAGAGATGGCTAACTATCGCCGATGATGACGACGCAAGTGAATGAAAATGGTGTGTGTGTGAGTGGCCTGGTATAGGTCGGGGGATGGCTAACGGTCGCCGAAGGTGGTGACGGGAGAGAATGATCGGAGTGTGCGTGTGTGGCCTGATATGGGGTCGATAGGTGACGGATGGTCGCCGCTGTTGGTAATGGAAATGAGTGAGATTTGTGTGCGTGTGTGGCCCACTAGGGGTCGATAGGTGGTTAATGGTTGCCAATCTTGGCGGTGAAGGGTATCCCTGGCACGCCTGGAGTGCTGTCGGGAACAGACGCCTAGGGTAGGTAGAATAGTAGGTGCAGGAGGGAAAGTGTTTAGTTCAGTAGTGAACGATTGGTAGAGGCATAGGATTTATACTGTTGTATTTCACGCATGTATTTTGAGTTTTACTGTACTGAGTTAAAGGAACTCACTCTTTCCTTTTTACAGATGATGTAGGGACGGAGTCCGGATCGAGGTCGTTGGATTCTGATCCTAGTGTGTAGAGTACAAGATGAGGAGTTTCGTTTTATTTTGTCTGAATGGAATATGTAAAATTGATGATAGCATAGATTTTGAGTATGGTTGTATGGTATGGGGTGTCTTGTACATGTTTGTAGGATTGTCTTGATCATTGAATAAGGGATTATGCTATTGTTTTCTTGTGCATGACCGTTTGGTTATGAAAGTTGGTTGTTTGTTAATTACACCCAACAAAAAAAAAAAGGCGTTACAGTTGGTATCAGAGCACTAATGATGGGTGCCACTATTATGCAGGTGAGTCGAGGGAGGTGACGAAGAAGGGTAGGGGTCGACCCTGTCGTGAGCCCACCCCAGGGGCCCCACGACGAGCCCCGGGATTTCACCATGTACCACTCGCTGCATTTCACGGGCCACCCCGGTGTCACACTGTGCCCTTCCCGTACAGCCCAGACACGCTGCTAGTCCATCGGCAACCCATACAGCGCAGTCCGGCGTACAACAGGAAGACTTTAACCGGCTGTGCAGAGTGGTTGAAAGCCTAGCTACCGTGATTAGAGATAGAGAGTTGCGGTCAGAGGCAGCATCGGTGCCACAACAAGGGGTTTCCATAGGAGTGATGGATACGAGCAATATTGAGAAATACCGAAGGTTGAACCCTCCTGCTTTCAATGGGGGGTTTGACCCACTGGTGGCTGAGGATTGGATAAAGGAGACAGAAAAGTTATTCGAGGTGATGACGGTGACTACAGAACAGAGAGTACAGCTGGCTACATTCATGTTAAGAGGGTCCGATGAACGCTGGTGAAAATTGAAAAAGGGGGCCTTAGTCCCACCAATCACCTGAGAAGTCTTCCTAGAAGCTTTCAATGCAGAGTATTTCCCAGATTTTCTGAGACAGCAAAATGAAGCAGAATTTACTGAACTTAGACAAGGGAGGTTGTCTGTGGTGGAGTACGCCGAGAGATATATAGATTTGGGCCGGTTTGCGCCCGAAGTCATGATGAATGAAACTAAGAAGGCCCGACGGTTTGAAAAGGGGTTACGGTCAGAATTGTATCACCAAGTGGCTATGTTTGCATTGCCTACATATCAGATGGTATTGGAGAAGGCACAGTTGATAGAGGCACTGTATAAGGAACAGATTGACAATAATAAAGGACCCTCCAGTCATAGACGACGGCCACCATCTTCTAGTCAAACAGAGAAGAGGCAGAGAGTGTGGTTTAGGAGGCAGTTCCGAGTCATTAGATGGTCGGAATGTGCCCACGGTGTGGTAAAAACCATGGAGGACGACCATGCATGAGTGGTAGTCGAAGCTGTTAATGGTGTGGGAGCACACAACACTTCGTACGAGATTGCCCCCTGCCGAGAGAGTCTGGTCGGCCGTTGGTTCAAGGGCGGGTGTTTGCCATGACGATTCCGGAGGCGGCCGCTACTTCAGGAGTAATACAAGGTATACTTTATATTTTGAATATTCCTGCTAGAGTACTAATTGACACTGGGGCCACACATTCATTTGTGTCGTCTAGGTTCGCATCTAGACTAAGGATAGAGCCTCGGGGATTGGACCGAGTATTGGTAATATCTACGCCAACTAATAGCGCTTTATGTACTGATGTAATGTTTGACTCTTGTGGGGTAGAGATAGAGGGGAAGAAGTTAAAGGTAGA